GCTGTTGCTCTTGATTACTATTAGTTTGAATGGTAAAGTGCCCTTCCGCCGAATCCTGTGGACTCTATCTTTCCCTCCTACGACATTTTGACGCATCTGTAGCGATTACAAGTTGTGTATGGTTGTAAATAAGAATAACGAACATAACTTTCGAAAGCGACTCTCATCCAACTGAGTTGTGTTCTTTACTCATGACCGCCTTCCTTATTTACAACCATATACAACTGGTAACCGCGGTGGTGTTAGGGCACCTAAAGTAACCTGTGAATATATATTTTTTTAAAGTCAGGCTCAAGACTGTCAATCCTCGTGTTTTAGTCTCAATTTGTCATTAGTGCCTGGAGCGAGAAACTAAATTACTGAGACAATCAACTTTTGAAATTATTTCGCCGGAGATCTATTTTCCAGATAAGTGAATTTTGACCGATTTAGCCGTGGACCAAATAAGATAAGTCTGAACTGGAATAAAATGGAAAAAGCCAATAAAATTTCTCGTTTATTTCCAATTTGTAGATGTATTAGACTTAAATACCTATCATAAAGATGATTGTAAAATAAAAGTTAAGTCACCCAAGAGAATGGAATTCGCTCTCTTAAATCAACTTTTCTCAGCCTATAATGTCATCTTGTATTTGAAGCGTTTAGTAATTATGGAAATGTTTCTAATATTCCTTTAGATTTGTCTTTCGTGTAGTTGTCTGTTTTTATAAATCAGTTTTTGAAAAACCTGCATGCTCTCCGTTTAGTTGTCCGTTTTAATCAAACTTTTTTAGAAAATTTTTTTCAGTTGCCAAATTACTTAGCAATACTTCTTCCGTATAACTCAATAGCACAACCAAACATTTCATAAACATGACTGTCCTATAAGAGAAAATAAATGAATACATAGGACAGCTCACATTCAGTAAAAACCGGAATTGCGTATGCGCGAAAATTACAAAAATAACGCTCCGATTTATGCACTCTGGTTTTGTCTCAAAGACCGACTCAGAAATATTAAGTTTCCTAAACAATCGATACCAGTAATAAAATAACCAAATTTTGTTCTCGGTCGTCGAATCGCGAACCCAAACTAATTTCTTTTCAAGCGAGAAATCATTATCTATCAAGGTTCAAAGGTCTCTAATGTGTGTAGACCTTGATTGGTTTCTTACCAGTAAAATGTTAAATCAAAGAATAAAGTTTTTGACATTTGGTTTTACTTTGCGTGCATAGTCATACCACAGTAACTTATTAACATTGGGTACAAACGTTTCTTACTTTAACCAAAAATAAATTCATATTTTACGCTTGGAAACATTTTGCTTAGTGAACGAAGAACGTCGTTATATCACGACTTGTCCAGTACTAAACAACAAAACACTACGAGAAGTTTTCGAAATGATTTGCTTTTCTGGTTGCCTTGTCTTGATTTTCTGAGGTTTTTAAGAAAAGTCCTAGACCATCCTTTTACTGTCGGAAACCCAGCCACAGCTCGACCGTCCTGCACTCATGTGACAACATAATAACTTTAATAATAACAGCTCATTACCGTACACTGACGTATACTTACTCCCTTATGATTGATTTACTTCCTCATTTGAAAACTTCATTAGCTGCCACCATTGTTTCGCCAATATGTTGGTTGTATTTCGGTTTGGTTTTCCAATTCGAATCGTTAGTACTGGGTTTATTTATTTCAAATCATCGCGACGGTGAAAGATGTTGGGGATTTCTCTTCAGACAACTAAACAGACTTCCTACTGAAAACAGCCAATTATTGAGAGTTGACAAGATGAGGCATCCAGTCGTTCGTTCAGACAAAACCTCCGTAATCCATTTAGAAATTGGCTCATCAACCACTTTTGATTTCTGACGTAAAAATGTCGATCTCCAATCACTAATCTAAACGATAGTAAATGTTTCAATGAGAGGCCATTTTGAAAACTAGCAGCTATTTAGCTTAAGATCGATAATGGCTGATAACTTAAGAAAATTCAATTTGGTCGACAAGGCCCCCGCTGGCAAAGATATCCACTACCATCAATGAGTAAGAAATTACAAATAGAAGAGAAATTGGATTAGTATGGGAAAGTGTTAGACTATCTTCAGTCAAATTGTCAGATAATTGAACAAAATCTATACAAGTATTTTGTTAGTAAGAGACCTTGCAGTTCCTCTGATAACCTGCAGGGATTTTACACTACAATGACGGACTTGATTTTACAGTATTCCAGTAATGATGGTAATTTAGCTTTTAAAGGCATGCCTTACAACAACTTTAGTCTACAATGCCATATTTATCATGAATAATTTAATAGTTATTAATACATTGTATACCAATGTATTGCCAAAGTCTTATTTGGATTTCGGTTCGGATCGTCAATATTTGGATTTTTATTTGCACATTGTACTTATTCATTTTATTTTAAGCGACTTTTAGGGGTAAAGATAACATTTTCGTCTATTGTGGTAGATTTACACCGGTGAATGTCTTTTGAATTGATAAAAGTGAAATGAAAAATATGTCCTAATCTAAAAAGAGAAAATGATTCATCATAAGTTAACAGCTATCTTGGGTATTTCCACATGATAATAACTTATATATGACTATATTTCCTTCGTGGAAAATCTGAATTAAGTGCCATACATGGTTCCAATTCCAATTTCATTAAAAAAGTTCCCAGAATCACATCAGCAAAAAGAAAATGATTAATATTACAACAGCATCAAAATAAGCTGAAGACTAACACGACCCACACATAATATACAGGAACATGATAATATTTATGTGTGCTCTAAGTGAAAAAAATATGTTTTGTTGTTTAATGAGTAACAAAGAATAACGACCGCCTGTGTATCTCCGCTACAATACTCAGTGTTAAATATTGATATCAATTGATATACCCAATGAACAATATAAACAATTTGAACTTTGCGAAAGCAAGGCATCAGCTATTCCCGCAGAATAGTGAGCATTGTCCGATGCCTGTCTAGTGACAGCATCCAGTCACAAAACTGTTTATACAAATGAAACTCAATAACTAAACAACTGTAATTCTTTCTAAGACAAATACTACTCGTCTCATACCACGAAAATTACAACGTGATAGACAGAAAGAAAAACAAAATAGATCTTTTAACAAAATATAATATTATTGTTTAGCACATTATTGAAAATTTCTTTTTGCTCGCTGTTTTCTTCCAGACCTTACTTGAACTGTCGAAGACCATTTCCAACTCGGTCGTATTTTGTTTCAAAACTTCGAAGTTCTTGTCTTTGTTATTGCTTGAGGAAAAGAAAAATGATTTCCGCTCTTAATTGAAAAAAATATTGTCTTTTTCAACGAGAGTAATCCAACGTGAAGACATGGTAGACACAACTTCATAAGCTGCTACCAATGTTCGTCAATATGTAGTTTGGATTTCGGGTTCCGTTTTCCGGTTCAGATCATTACTACTAACTTTAAATATACATCGGCTATGTTTAATCGAAGAATGCCTTGATATAGTTCCTTTAAGGTGTAATTGTTAGAAATTTGGGAAAATGGGACCCAAGTGATAATTTATTGAAAAGTTCCTCCTCCTCATCGAGATTCCCGATTCGTTCAGTCACTGCCATGAAAGTGTACCTACTTAGGGCTTTTGGTGCAGAGGCGCATTTGCCTGGTGGGGCTTTTGTTTGTCCACCGGTTAAGCATGGACAAAGACCCAATCGTTTATTAGTAGGGTCAGTCAGTCGGATGTTTTTGTTGAAGCTGCTCAGGCTATGCTACCGCAGGATACCAGATACCACGTTTGCTGCATTATAGACTAGAATTCTACCTTTTCGAACGCAAAGAACAGTCGCCTATTTCCTAAACGGATCACTATGTGACACCGTCGTTTAAAGTCAAGAGACGGAACCCCTCATATTATTATACTAGCTAATTAAATTTCTTATCCCATAAAGATGTCGGTCTGGATTGTGTTAGATTTTGAAAGAACTCTTGACTGGACACTGATATACATTCATATACTTCCTTCTGTCTACGTGATAATTGAACAATAAGATACAAATATTTCTGATATATATCGACTTCGTAAAATATTGAACTTTAAAATATATCGCCCAGCTTTGAAATATATCGACTTTTATACAAGGGCTTAGTGTAATGTCGAGAGACAATGTCATAAGAATATTTTCTAAAAATAAATGTTTTATGTTTATGTTTATCCTCACTTCAACCACACTCACTTATCAATAGATAGACGGTTCATTTTATCCAAATAGCTTCGTATGAAGTGATGAACAAAGCGACTTTTGTCTGTAGTAATTTTAACTAATTTTGTGCGTGTGTTCACGTTCACAAATAAAAACCTGAAAAAAGGGCTACATGCATATGTTGGATGTTATATTCCTAACATTATCATAATTGTGAATTTTCGGATGCTTAAGATTGGCACCCGATGCTGTGGAAGGGTAAACAAGGTAGATGACAAGATAACGTCCGCTTCCAGCTGATGCTGATATCAGAGGCTAGGTAGTTGTTGGTAGATGACAAGTTAACGTCCGCTTCCAGCTAACTGATATCACAGGCTAGGTAGTTGTTGGTAGATGACAAGTTAACATCCGCTTCTAACTGATGCTGATATCACAGATTAGGTAGTTGTTGGAAGGTGACAAGTTAACCTCCGCTTACAGCTAACTGATATCACAGACTAGGTAGTTGTTGGTAGATTACGTGTTAACATTAACTTCCAGCTAATTGATATCACAGACTAGGTAGATGTTTGTAGATGACAAGTTAACATCCGCTGCTTCCAACGGATGCTGATGTCACAGACTAGGTAGTTGTTCAAAGGTGAACACTCTTTGACCAAATCTTAAAGACCTTTAAATTCCAGTTGAATTTACTATTTCCCCTTTGGAATCTTGTATATGCATTGATTAAGCATAATAGTTTTGATTGCCTTCAATTCGCCATAGTGTAAGATTGTGATTGTTAAAATAAAGCAAAATCCTTTTTTTATATTTTCAGTATGTTCTCATTTATCGAAGGGCGTTCTGGCCATATTTGGCGTGTCCAATGCCTCATCATTAGCTACCATACAGTCCTATAGTAACACATTCAAAGTTCCATTTATCACCATTAGTATGGCCCAGAATACATCATCGAAAGATTCATACCAGATTTATATGCGTCCATTGTATATTCATGCTATCATCAAAGTTTTAGAACATTTTGATTGGAGAAAAGTTTCTTACATTTACGATTCCGACGAAGGTAAGCATTATTCTATTATTCTATACCTCGATTTGTTTGTTTCCTTACTTATCAAAAGCAACAGCTTCGTAGGAATGGTTGTCCAATGTCCATTGGAGGGTAATTTAAATTCTAATTAGGGCTAAATTTAAATTGGCACAATTCTTAAAGAGGTGAAAGTATCCAATAAATATCTGATCGTAGGTATACGTTTGACTGAATTGTTAAAGGGACAGGTTTTTTTTGATTTTAGTCTTAAACACATGTAAATAGACTTCAGAAATACTAGAAATATACTAAAATCACATAATTCCTTTAAAAAAATACTTCAACCTAGGAAATTTACTCATTATCTCTATAGATGTCTTTTCTATATATCACAGTTTATCAAAAATTGACGAGTCGTCATTGTTAGCTGTGAACACTATCACTAATATCTCAGTTTCTGAGACTAAAGTATGATTGGTAAAAAAAATGCCCTACCTGTCCCTTTCGAATCATGTAAAGAAAAATGAAATGTAGACTTACCTATCTTAACCAGAATCCGACAAAATCAAACGGGTGGTGATACGAATAATCTAAGTTATAGCTGTTGATTTGATAAATCATCAATTATCAAATATTGGTACTCTTGTTTACATTAACCCCTACTTGAAATAAGTTTGTTTAACTTCTGTGGGTCATCCTAAGGTATTATACTACAGTCGTTTGAATTATCATTAATTCATTTAAAGTTAAAAATTTTAATGTTAGTATGGTTTATTACCCTTTTAACCAAACAACCCCTATGTCTCTTCAGTGCTATTTATCAATTTATAGTTCTTATTCTGACAGTTATGTTCCTAATATCTTCAATAAATATTATTATTCATTATAAAACGAAACATAGTTATCTCCCTTAATCTGAACAAGATAATTCTGACCTATATTTTATTATTATACTCTCAATGCTTATAAAATTACTCTGTTGAAGTATGTTCCAAATTTCTGACCTCTATCACGAAAGTTTTAACACTTGTAAAATATTATTTTATTTCAAAAGCGAATGTTTATCTAGGAAACTTAAAATCCACCCAATAACCTTCTTTGAAATGTGTTTGACCTAAATTTTATACTTTGTTCTACGAAATTATCTCCCTTGGAGATGAAACCAAAACATTTTTTCTTTAAATGTTGATGATGTTATTTCTAAGGACAATGTGTCAATATATTTGAACACAATCAGAGATTAAACACGTTTTGATAGAAAATAAAATTCTGTCTTACTAAATACTATGAATGTTCGAACTGCAAGTAAAATGGCATAAAAAGCTAACTTCTCTATTCTGTCAAATACCATATACATATACCATTGATAAGCCTACCGGGGAAAAGTGAGATCAGATTTCACAAGCCGTTACAAAATGTCCAATTGGAAAAAAATGAATCAACAGCTTGGATGGAAAAAAGAATCTTTTCATCCGTTGCTTTTCCTGGAACCAAATCTTTACCTAGAAAATAGAATATAATAATAATTATATCAACAGCCTTCACCTATTCTTGGATCACGCAAGAAAAAAAAGTTCATTCTTTATCATCCGTTGCGTTTCCTCGAACTAAATGTTAACCTCGAAAATAGAATTGACGTAGAACCATTTCAAGAAAATAACAGTAATCATTCCATCAAGATAAAAATAGATCACTTTAATTATAAACTTTATTCTCCAGCTATTTATTTCCATGACTAAATTCCCGGGTTCAGAGCCAACACATGCAATTTATTTCAATGGAAACGTTGCTGATCTCACGCCATGTTGAATACGTGATTTCAATTTTTACTCAGTTCTTCATCTAGGGTGCATCCTGCCCTTCTGCTACATTTAAATAAAAGACATTTTGGTTTCTAGGTAAACGTATTCTGCATATTGCTTTTAACTTAAATTCGGATTATGCCTTTTGAAACCCTACACTCCTCCAGTCAATTATGTAGGTCGTAGATAGTCGTTCTGATGGGTCAATAAACCGCGGCTTCGGCTGTGTACGTCTTGGCAAATTTCCCTACCTGCACGCTTGTATGCTTAAACTCAAATAGGTGCATAAACGTAAAACTCTTTCATTTCAGTTGCGTCTTTTATTTAATATTTAAACATGGGGAACATGATATGAATAGTAAAACCGAAGCGGATTCCCAGCTATTATTACATTTTAGTTGTAAATTTTCCCCATAAAATATAGTTGTATATTATTCAGGTGTCTCTTGTATAAGTATTCTATGGAACTTTTTATGTCATTCATTGAACAAAATAAAACTGTCTCCGACTACATTTCTGTAACTTTTACGAATGATTATTGTATTGTTCCATTTCCGTGGGTTAAATTGTCTTCAATACTATTTCTCTTAAAGCCCAACGCAGACGAGGAACATTTCTGTCGACGAACAAAAACATTGAACAAATATATTTGTTTTCCGTTATCCGCAGACGACAAACATAATTCCGCAGACGACGAACATTTAGCTCGAACAATACGCCAGTGCCACGGAAAATTACATGACCTCAAAATGGCGACGTCCAGAAGAAAATGTAAAATTGCGTTAGCTATTTTATTAATTTTAAAAAGACGCCAAGGTAGACGGCGAAATAGGAGCATTAGGATCCGTACCTGGATTCAACGTCGTAAAGAGCAGGGTGTGTAAATTTACCGGTTGTTTCCAGGGATTGTGCTATTTCTTGCATCGCAGCGTACTTCTTGTTCTGTCTGAATAGTCGGGCGAAGAACTCATAAACAAACAGGCAGATTGCGACCACATATCTACTAAAATCTGCTCCTTCTCCACAGTCCAAAATTTTGTGTTGGTAGATTCACTGGACGTCGCCATTTTGAGTGTCATGTGGTCTGGCTTCGATCGCTGATTGGTCTTTCGTCGATGAATGTTCGGCGCTAATGTTCGTCGTTAACGCAGACGGCGAACAAAGAATTGTTCGGCGAACAATTTTAAAAAATCAAACATGTTTGATTTCACGAACAATTCTCACGAACATTTTTGTTCGTGTTTCTGTAATCCGCAGACGGTGAAAAAAATGATCGAAACAAAATTTTTACGATTGTTCGCTTAAAATGTTCCTCGTCTGCGTTGGGCTTAACGGTAAATTTCACCAATGATTATTGTATTGTTCCATTGTAGGGTTAATTCGTCTACAGCAATTATTCCAATCTACAAATTTGTACGAATATGATTTACACATCGGTGCCAAAAGAATTACAACTGTTGACAATTGTTTTAATGTTTTATATGTAAGTTTGGTTTTGTAATTTCCTCATGTGAATAGTTCATTAGCTGCTACCAATGTATTGCCAAACTGTTATTTCATGTACTCATTGTTTGTATACTTATCGCACAAGATTTTAGACTTATACCAAATCATAGCTAAATGCAAGTTCTGACCATGACTTCCTTAACCTAGACAAGTCATCTTGTTATAGTACCGAAATAAAGTAAATGTTTTAAAGTTATGGTAGACTATACATCTGTTGTTTTATATAATAAACTGCTGTACAATAGTCAATGCCTATTTTAGGAATTACATAAAAAAGATGAAGAGGAAGACCAACGAATTATCTTAGATTTACAAATAGAAAAAGCAGAGGAAGTCATCAAACAAATTGTAAGTGTACCTGTAGGAATGTGTACTAAGAAGGTCTTAGATTCGATTCAGGCGTATGTGTGATAATTTTGACGCAAGTTGGGGGTGCTGTCATGGAAATTGTTTAATTGTTCTGGCAGAACAATCTATGTCTGCACAGTTTAAAAATCGAAAACAGTACGCCACGAAGCACCAAAACTCCCATCATTGCATTGTCTCAGAGAGTTCTAATTTTTCAGAGGTCTCTCACCTCCCCCATATCGTTTTGAATGAAATATTAGATATCTGATAAATGGTGAAAGCTCTGGAAAAAAATCATAAAACAAAGGTCGTAAAAAGTTAAATGTAACAAGATTTTAACACTATCTGATATATAAAAAAGAGGCAGTAAATGCCAAGTGATATTTAAACTCATTCATTAAAAAGTCTTATCAAATTTGGAAAAGTTCATCTGTGAATCGTTCAAAACGAAAATTAAGATTTGTGTTCTATCACCTCGTTCTTTCAAAACATGTCTTTCCACTTTGTAAAACTTGAAAGTTGCTGCTCGTTGAAGTTTTTTAACTTCACATTCGTGTCGGTTGAGAACCATACTTAAAATTCATCGTTAACAATGGATTAGAGCTTATTGTGAACTACTCATAATTGTCAGATATTATGATAAATTGTCTGAATAAAGCCCTTGAACTTTTCTGGATTTCAACAAATACTCTAACATTGTCGCTTATCCTTTTCTTGATTAATCATACTGGATTTTTTAGGACATTTTCAAGCGATATGTCAAGACAAAATATGCCAAATAAATGTCAAAAAAATTCATGGACATTTTTTTGTGTTTACTTTAATTTAAACTCGATTTGAAAATTGATCATATGTCTTAGAATGTTAATATTTAATAAAGTTTGTAACATGGTTGCGTTTTATGTCAGTACGATTTTAATGCACGAATTGATACGTTAATTAAATTCGTTTTAAATTCTCCAATTTTCCAATGTAATATGAGAGAATTAAAAGTTATGATTAAAGAAGATATTGATGTGAAATAAATTAGGTTTTATTTCCAAACGCTGCACATTGTTAAATCAAATTCTTTTACGTTTGAACGTCGTTTTATCATTTTACAGGCCTGTTGTTGTGAGATAGCGACTATTACTGTAATAGAATTGCTTTCTTAATTCCTAAAACCTGTGCATGAAACATTCCAGTTAATTCGACAGCAATCTTTACTGAAGATTTATACAATTCATTCATTCGTGTGATCTCTTATTCCTTTCAATCATACAGTTATCTTTTACTTCCAGATGCGGTATTCAGACGTTAGCAATGCACGGTTTCATTTTTTACTCGGCGAACTGGTAAGATGAAAAATTCTGGACAATTTTAAAGGGACAAAAATCGATTTTTGTTGTTATTCTTTACGCACGTTTGGTTATTGTACTGCTTTTAATACCCAAAAAACTAAATCTAAATCATTTTATGGGGAAAATAAAACGAGAAACGAAATAACGACATATCTTAATAAAATTCTACCAAATCTGATATTTAATTGGCCAGGGTGATCATTGGGTGATATATTTTATGAAATTTGACGATAAAAATGGTTTCATTTGATAACTTTATGACCAGCATGGTATTCTCACCAGTCCAACTGTCTGAACATTGAGTTTTATTGCGTTATGTTACGTTATCTCGGTTGAGTTATTTGTCATCGGATATTCTAAGATCCTTTTCAATTGCACACTGCATGGCGCTCCCCCTTTTCATTACCCCTATTAGGTACAGAAGAGTAGTACGTTTCTTTTCATTTCAATAGCATACCCAAATTTACATATGTGATTCTAATATGTAAAACTAAATCGCTGCATCTGTTGATCGTTTTTTCATTGAACAAATGAGGCGGCGCCAGTATGTATATAAAATCGCATAAGTACATCCATTCCAATAGGAATATATTGAGCATGTATTTTCGGGATATGAAGAGCAGTGAGTTCTTCTCTATGACGCAAACTACTTTTTATGATTTGAGGCTTTTCGTTTCGAGGCATCAAGGGAACCATGGAAACTACAACTTCATATTTGAGAGAAATGAATTTCGGTTTGTTTCTCAATATTTCAGGGTATGTTAGAGATGAATTTAACTAATTTTGAAACTGGTGGAATCAACATTACTGGATTTCAATTGATGGATCCTAAAAATCAAACAGTTGAAATGTTTTTAAATTCTTGGGCCAATTTAGATCCATTAGAATGGCCGGGTGCTGGAACGAAGAAAATTAAGGTGTGTACACGTATTGAAGAAATTCATGTAGCAATTTGGATTAATGTCATTTGACACCATCGCCAATGATGCTTTCTGCACCGTTAATGATGGTGGCTCTCTCCGTGTTCTTCAATCCATATGAACCACATGATGTCACTCCGTAACTGATATTCCAGTATTCAAATATCTAATAATGATTTTTTTTTTTTTTTTTCATTCCATGTATCAATTTTATATTAATATTAATATTGATGATATTTGAAGCTTGTAATGACCTTATATAGCTCTATTTCCGTCTACGGTGTTCCTTATATGAACTTCTTTCGTTCTAAAATAGACATTGTGAATTACTTCTCGATCAGCTGAGTTATTCCAGCAGTCATACTAAATTATTGATATGATACGAAATGAAATTTCTCATTACACACTTCAGATAAAAAAATCTTGGTTCATTTTTCTAAACTTTTTTTCATGCTTTTCTAATTATTTATAAAACTAATTTAATTGTATCCGAATTAGAGCTAAATTACAGAAAACTAATTCCATAGGGAAGTCAACTAGAAGAAAGGAATGAGCTTTGGAATTGATTTGACAATGAAAAAACTTAAGAATTCATTTCAACATAGCACCGATGAACTATGTCGTGCAAGCTTAATTGTCATACAACAAGGTGTAAGTTAAAGGTTAAGATAATAAGATATGTTAATTATGGATGCCTCTGTAACACTATCGATAGTAGCACCATTTCTTTTGCTGAAATAGCTGTAAATATAAGAATCAGCGTTCTTCTCATTTCAGTATGAAGCTGCGTTAGCAGTAGATGCAGTTCGTCTTTTTACCAGGTCTTTCAGTGGCATTCTTGGAATGGAGCCGAATTTCCTCCATCGTCAGTCCAGTCTCAATGAAAATAAAGGCATTAAATGTACAGACGATTCTTTGGTTACAAGCAGGCAAGGGGATAAAATAATTAAACAAATGAAATCGGTAAGAAAAATAAAATGTGACATGGTTGTCAAATAGTTATTTTATTTCATGAGTGACGGACATTCATTTACTAACAAATTGTACTCGTCCCCGTGATTAATTAACTGATTCTATGTGACATGGGTAAACTTAAGATGGGTAAAACGAAAGGGCAGATTTGTAAGGACCTTTGGTTACTGGTTAATGCAATCAGGTATCCATATCTTATCTAGCAAACATTGTATTTGTCGTTTGTAATAGTCTGATGTTGCGACCAAACTATTTTGATCGCAGTTGCTATTAGTAGTCCGTCAATTTATCGACATGGTGCTTGAAACCATGAAGTCATTCCGAGTCCACGACCTAAAGTAACTACAAATAGTGTTATTTTTCTTATAAAACTAATTTCAATCATGTTTAATACATTATCCCAAACGGCGGTAAATCTTGGAATATTGGTCTCAATGGCACCACTTGTGAGAGTAGAAGATTCCAGGAATGAGAACAGTCACGCTATTCCAATTTTGAAACCCTTAGGGGCGTTTGTTCTTATTTCATGATAATATCAGCCTATTATAAAACAGTTTAATATTCACCTGTTTGGCTCGCTTATTCGGACAGTTGGTTCGATTCAAAAGGGATGCTTTATTTAGCCTTTGAATGTGTATCATGAACATTTATATCTATTACAGTTTCCCGTCTGTGATTCTTATAATTCTAAAAATTGTTCTTATTCCGGTGAAGTCGTACACATGCAAAAGCATACAAACCTCTTCTGAATTCCCAACTTATATTACATGGATAAACATAATTTAAAACACTTTGTCTAAGTTTCACACGAACTCGTAAGAAAGTTAAGTCCACAAAATTCTTGCACCTGAGCTGCCCCCGCTAATGAAGACAGGTGTGTTAGAGAAAGAAATGGGTCAAAAGGATTTAATTTGCAGGTTAATTTCGATGGTGTAACTGGTCGTGTTGCCTTCGATGAAAATGGTCACAGAAAAGATTTTACATTGGGTGTTTACGATGTAGCAATGAATCGAGGTATTGCAAAAGTAAGTAACAGATCATTAGATATATATATATTGGATATTAAAACGAAACTTCAAACATGTCAGAGTTTCACGCTGTGCTATATATTATTCCATTAGGATAAAACATATTTAAATTTAAATTACTAGAGTTTTTTTTACATGTAACACACGAATATTTAGATATCCATTACTAGTGTTATATATCTGTAATTTAGATCGAGGTTTCTTTAGCGGTTGAAGTTATATTTTGGGCGACTTGTTTGCTTATGAGACGAATATACCGAACCCCTTGATTAAAAACATACAGAATTAAGGCATATGCTAGAAACGGTGTAATGTCTGAAATTTCTTGACATTATGGCTTTGATAGGTACGACTGGGTGTATAATGCAGTCTTTTCTGTGGTATAATGTTCTTTGTCTACGTTATCCCAAACTGGAGTGGAACAGTAGGACGTAAAACTCAGTTTCTAATCAATGTTGGATTTCAGATTGGGTCTTGGAATAACAACGATGGTTTTCAAGTGCAGCAGCCTAGATTATGGCGAGATAGAAATGCTAACGCTTTAGATCAGAATCGCACAAGAATTATAACAACAATTCAGGTATGGTCCTATCACAGGATCTTTTATTTGGTTAACAATGTATCACTTTGTATCTAAACCGTTAACAATTTAATTAAAAACTTAGACTCTATTATCTGAGCAAAGTAAAACAAAATGAATTTTGAAGACATGATGTGTGCTCATGTTTATGTTTCATCAACGCAATGACATTCTAACACTAACAGTACTATTTTGATGATGCTTTTTGAATTCTCATTGAAATAATGGAAAAAAATTTTAAAAAACTCGTAATTTTGTAAAGTTTTATTTTAACATTAAATTGTTTACATTTGACATTTTCTTTGAAAAAACTGAGTATAAAAATGTAAATCTTAACTCAATAGGTCAATAACCAAAACATTTTTCCACAAAAAACGGACAAATTTTGGTGTTCAATGCTAAATGTATTACGCTATGACATAATGCTTTCAAATTTTTATGTTGTATAAGAACAGAAAACTGTTCATTAGAATGGATCGCTACAGAATAATTCATGTTATTACAGCTAATAAAATCAGCAAACGAAACAGCAATATTATTCTAATTTATTATGAAACTGGTAGTTTTCCCTTCTGACATTCTCAGGATGGAGTCTTTACTCGACATGTTTGACAATTGCCATGCAATGTATAATTATTGATAATATTATTCAAACGATATGAGTTTGCTCACGCAACATGAAAAGGTTAAAATAATTGAAGATCGCAAATATGAGCTGTACCTAAAGATACTGCCAAAGTACGTCGAGATCTTAACTAAAGGAGAATCCAGATTCAGAAAGTACTATAATTTAATACAGATCAGATGACAAAAGACATTTTTTGTGAATAAGACACTGCTCTCTCGTCAGGAAAACATATTTCTTTAGTGTAATATTTTCATAAATGGTACAATGTAACAAAGATATAATTTATATGTCTTAAAATATCAAAAAATAATTGTTAGAGTTTCTTATATGTGATTTAATATATTACCCCTAATCAAAATAATTGTTAGAGTTTCTTGTGATTCAATATATTACCCCTAATCAAAATAATTGTTAGAGTTTCTTGTGATTCAATATATTACCCCTAATCAAAATAATTGTTAGAGTTTCTTGTGATTCAATATATTACCCCTAATCAAAATAATTGTTAGAGTTTCTTGTGATTCAATATATTACCCCTAATCAAAATAATTGTTAGAGTTTCTTGTGATTCAATATATTACCCCTAATCAAAATAATTGTTAGAGTTTCTTGTGATTCAATATATTACCCCTAATCAAAATAATTGTTAGAGTTTCTTGTGATTCAATATATTACCCCTAATCAAAATAATTGTTAGAGTTTCTTGTGATTCAATATATTACCCCTAATCAAAATAATTGTTAGAGTTTCTTGTGATTCAATATATTACCCCTAATCAAAATAATTGTTAGAGTTTCTTGTGATTTAATATATTACCCCTAATCAAAATAATTTCTAAGATGCTAAAGCTAAGCTGAGGATCGGAAATGTGATTTCACGCCCTATTGCTAAATGAGTTATTGAGAGTTTATAATGACGATAAAGGTCATGGTAAAGTGTGAGCCCAGGGGCGATCTCTGTTCACAGAATAATTTAGTTCGGCTATTTAATAGTCCATGTTAATATATTCATAGGAAACTTTGTGTTGGTTATTCCTGGGGGTTTATTTCACAATTATATCTAAGTATTCTCAGGTCAACATGCATATTAAAACTCATCTTCTCACATCCTAGTAAACATCCTTACACGCGGATTGTCTAAATAAAGAGCAACACGAACCCCCTAGATTTTCTCGTTGATGAAGACCCAAAACCGAACTCGAAGTTTAAGTAATTATGTACCTCTCTTGTATTTAGGTGAAGCCGTATGTAATGTTTAAATCCCGGCCTAAAGATGGAACGCCACTAGTATCTAATGATATGTTAGAAGGATTCTGTATAGATTTAACTGAAGCTGTAGCTCGAGAAGTTGGCTTCAATTACAGAATCAAATTTGTGCACGACAGTAAATATGGTGCTAAGAATGAAAATAATTTAACATGGAATGGTATGGTTGGAGAGCTAATTAACCATGTAAGTATGTTATATGGTTGGAGAGCTAATTAGACACGTAAGAATGTTATATGGTTGGAGAGCTAATTAGACACGTAAGAATGTTATATAGTTGGAAAGCTAATTAGACGTGTAACAATGTTATGTGGTTGGAGAGCTAATTAGACATGTAAGTATGTTGTATGGTTGGAGAGCTAATTAGACACGTAAGAATGTTATGTGGTTGGAGAGCTAATTAACCATGTAAGTATGTTATATGGTTGGAGAGCTAATTAGACACGTAAGAATGTTATATGGTTGGAGAGCTAATTAGACACGTAAGAATGTTATATAGTTGGAAAGCTAATTAAACGTGTAACAATGTTATGTGGTTGGAGAGCTAATTAGACATGTAAGTATGTTACATAGTTGGAGAGCTAATTAGACATGTAAGAATGTTATATGGTTGGAGAGCTAATTAGACACGTAAGAATGTTATATGGTTGGAGAGCTAATTAGACATGTATGTTACACAGTTGGAGAGCTAATTATACATGTAAGAATGTTATATAGTTGGAAATGCTTAATTAGACATGTAACAATGTTATGTGGTTGGAGAGCTAATTAGACATGTAAGTATGTTATATAGTTAGTGAGCTAATTAGACATGTAAGTATGTTATATAGTTGGAGAGCTAATTAGACATGTAAGTATGTTATATAGTTGGAGAGCTAATTAGACATGTAAGTATGTTATATTTTGGAGAGCTAATTAGACATGTTAGTATGTTATATGGTTGGAGAGCTAATTAGACATGTATTTTATATAGTTGGAGAGATAATTAGACATGTAAGTATGATATATGGTTGGAGAGCTAATTAGACATGTAAGTATGTTATATAGTTAGTGAGCTAATTAGACATGTAAGTATGTTATATAGTTGGAGAGCTAATTAGACATGTATGTTATATAGTTGGAAAGCTAATTAGACATGTAAGAATGTTATATAGTTAGTGAGCTAATTAGACATGTAAGTATGATATATGGTTGGAGAGCTAATTAGACATGTATGTTATATAGTTGGAGAGCTAATTAACCAGGTATGTTATTTGGTTGGAGAGCTAATAAGTTATATACCCAACGCAACTCACAACTCAGTTGCATGAGATTGTGGTCGACACTTATGGCCGCTATTCTAATTTAATCTTACTCGATCGCTATGGGGTAAGGACCACTTAATATCTGTACCCTTTAACACTATCAGAAACCACTTAATAGTCTTCAGTTAAGATTTACTCGAGTGATTACCAACGATCAATTCCTAGATTTCTAGCTAATACTCGAATAAGTCAACACTCAGATAGAGATTTGTAAACACGACTCGAGACTTGATTAGAAGATTGAATAAACCTAACGATGATTGCTTATCACCTAAATCAAATTAAAGTCGTCCTGAATCAAGAGAAATCGAAATGAAGTCGATATTAAGAAACGTTTGATCACTGAATTTATCCTATTTAAAAACTCATGATTAAATCTCCACGAAAATTCAAATTCTGCTAATTGGGCTGGTACCAACTGAAAACAAATCGATAGTATTATCTCTAACCGATGAGGTTTTTAAGATATAAAAGTAAATTGGAGATTTTACTAACTGATATTCCACAGGGATCTAATTAAACTTTGCTCTTTGTTTTCTGATTTGTTCCTGGCGCTTGACTTTGATATTACATCAAGGTTGGCTAGTGATTAATGGGAGAAAATTATGATGAGAACATGACCGACTCCTGGCAGCGTATTCTCGAAAATCCTACAAACAGTGTTAAGTGTAACAGAAGTTAAAACCCTAGGACGTCCTAGCGCTAAGATAATTTCGAGAATACTGGGCCTGGTATTTTATCTGGCGACCTGTTGGCTTCAGATTTGATTTGAAATAGAAAGTAGAATACGAGCAGTGGCACTTGGATTTTTTTCGATTCATCGGTGCGCTCTGGTCGCAAAAATAAGCTAATAATCCGAATTTTCTAGATGCCAACTGTTGTAAGAAGTCATTGAGAACATTTGCTCTCGTATTTTCGTTATACTTAAGGTGGATACTGTTTCAGTCATTGCGTTCGAGAAATGTCGTTTAATTGTACCTTTCCCTTCTCAATTATTGTTCATTCAAATGAAAAAAAAACCCACTAAACTTTTTTCTTGTTGATCATTATAAATTGAAACTTCACAATTGAAATTTTAAACCATATGTCAAAGTGAACCTTCTGTAAAAAGCTAAAAAAATTGAAAGTGTCTTATGTCACTGAAACACAATTACATCCTTGATAATTTTAAACATGTGAAGGTTGAACAACTCGAGTTCTAGTGTACATAAAAAATGATGTTTAGACGGGAATCTTTTAATTCTCTTATCTTTTACATCTAAAGAAATATCTGTCAATTGCTTCATTTGAAGATGAAAACAACAATTGAAAAGCAAAGTTAAAATAAACAAAAATATTGGCGCTTGCAATTCTTCTCCTTTTAAGAACGCACTGATAGATTTCTGTTGTTTTACTTTGTGAAACTCGTTTTTGTTTATATCCCAAAGTACGATCTACTATTTTCAGCATATGGACGATCTGCTGTATAGTTGATTTACAAAATGTGCATAGCTCAGTTCCACAAATTAAATTATAAAAAAATGCGCTTCAAAATATTCTCTATTTCAGGAAGCTGATATAGCCATTGCTCCTCTTACCATAACAGCTAATAGAGAACGTGTTATTGACTTCACTAAACCGTTTATGAGTTTAGGTATAAGTATAATGATCAAAAAACCTGAAAATCAGAAAGCTCACGTGTTTTCTTTTATGGATCCTTTATCGTATGAAATATGGATGTGTATTGTGTTTGCCTATATAGGTGTCAGTGTTGTGCTATTTTTAGTCAGTAGATTTAGCCCTAACGAGTGGCATCTCAGTGAAGACTCCTCGATCACCAACGATTTTACCATATCGAACAGTTTGTGGTTTTCATTAGGAGCTTTTATGCAACAAGGGTGCGATGTGTCGCCAAGGTAAGTCAACCAGTTCCCACTCTTGAGATGACACGGAGGAGCCATCTAATATTCATCTAGATCATCTATTCACGAATGCTTAGTAAACTCAATATAATCTTGATGGATTGGAAATGTACAGGCTGACACAGGTTCAACTTGGTAATCTATTTACGAAGGTTAAGTATTATTCCAGGCAATTCGTGAAAATATGGGCCACAGTCAAACAAATTGCAACCGAAAGTCTGTCAACTGATATACCCAGAACTAAGTCCTCTATAACATACTAAAACTCTTAAGGAACCCAAGCGGCAGAAAATGTGTCATAGCGACCATATAACCATTGCCCTATATGTACTTGATGGATGGGAATAATCATCATGAATGAGCTGACAAGGGTTCATCAGGATAACCTATTCACAAGTGGTTTGTCAATCCATTAGGTACTAGATGGGGACTGAAATACACGTTATGTACAATCTGATAGGTTCATCTTAATAATCTATTCACCAAGTTTATCCAAAAGCGATTTAATGTTCATTTTGTTAAACTATCCACACTAAAAACAAATTGTATGAACACAATGATATAAGCTGAGACTAAGGAACTGGCGACTGTTGGAATGTCTACTTTAACATTGTTTTTGTAGATCAATGTCCGGGAGAATAGTTGGGAGTGTCTGGTGGTTCTTCACATTAATTATCATATCATCCTACACCGCTAACCTTGCCGCCTTCTTAACCGTCGAGAGAATGTTGACTCCCATAGAGTCTGCTGAGGATTTGGCAAAACAAACTGACATACAATATGGTACAACTAGGTCGGGCAGTACGGAAGCATTCTTCAAGGTAAGTTCACGGGTTGTGTTTGACAAATCAAATATTGATGATTCATTTAAATAATCATTTGAAATGGGTGTAACAAGCTGGTAAATAATTAAAACATTTCTTGTTCTCCATCAAGGTTATTCTTCTTTCAATGTTCTTTTGCGGACTGTACTTCCAGCAATCAAAAGTAGACCGATATCACCGAATGTGGTCCTATATGACCTCCGCCACACCGTCAGTATTTGTAGACACGATTGAAGAGGGCATTAGAAAGGTACGAGAAGCTAATGGAAAATATGCTTTCCTGATCGAGTCTACGACTAATGAGTACGTCAACAAGAGAGAACCGTGTGATACAATGAAAGTGGGAAATAACCTCAATTCTAATGGTTTTGGTATAGCTACCCCTGTTGGTTCCGATCTCAAGTAAGTGAATTTTGCTCAGTTATTCCCAGCAAGCACAGTTGTATATTTTACTTGCTAAATTATAGCTACTACAATCTCCTTTGGTAAGACACGCCAGATTCTACTCTTGCGACCGAAATCGTCACATATTATTCTTTATGGAATGTCAACTTATTAAATACTCTTGGATTTATCAGTACTAACTTATCATGATCGGTGCCATCCAGCAGAAGTGCACCCCCGTCTTTCGGAATGTCCCCTAGACTGATATAGGTTATCTAAGAGAATTCTTAACTTTGTTATCAAATCCACGGGAAATATTTTCATTTTAGAGATAAATTGAACTTTGCTGTATTGGAATTGAGAGAGTCGGGTCAACTGGCTTCTTGGCAGAAAAAATGGTGGTTGGATACTGGAACTTGTCCACCACAAACAACTTCAAAGGTAGTATTCTGCATGATATCTGTAAATTAACTCTAATACCAGTACATATTGTTACTTCTTGTTTGAGTAGTCCACTACTATACAATTATTACTCCCGGTTTTTTCTCTTGCTGTGTACGAGATTTTTTTGTAACAGTTTAGCTTGTACGGATTTCTTTTTACCACATATATGCAGCTAATATTGTTTTAGGTGGATCTAATTCTACGTTACCTTTTGATGCAATCATATTCTTTGGATTACATCAGTTATTTCAAATACTTTTTCCACTAACTACTTTTAAAATGACTCGATATATTAGTATGTAAACTCATCATTCAATACTACCCACTGTACACACCCTCTATTGAAAATTGTATCATATATCCAGTCTAAGGGGAGACAATTCATCTATGGCTTTGTATTTTCTTAATCTTTCAGGACGGTGCACAAAGTGCCCTGTCACTCAATAATGTAGCTGGTATATTCTTCATTCTGATTGGTGGGTTAGTTTTAGCTTTGATTACGGCGGGATTGGAATTTCTGTACAAATCCAAGAAGGACGCGAGGAGGTATAAGGTATACTAGGAAACTTTGCTTTGCTATTTTTTGTAGATTTGTTTTTCCTTTTTGAGTTGCTCATACTTAACCAACAAAGGCTGAAATAATATCGTTTCCACAGTATATACTAGAATGTCCGGCATGATTTTTAAAAGTATAAATTAGATGGCTGTTAATGTCTCTTGGTATTATATTTGATATTTGTAACATAATATTTAATATGTAACTCCCATATACATTGGCGTATATATAAAATCCTAACCGCACAAACCAGCCAACCGGATGTAAAATATGAAATGGATATGGACCATTTTAATGCAATGCCTATTGAGGTGCCATAGTTAACATCTGGTTGGGCGGTTAGAGGTGGGGTTTTGACCTGTCCTATACTACGGAATGCTACAACTTATTATCAAGTACATATTACACCATAACATTATTGCATGCAAATAATGAATTGCCTGTGGCATAAGGGAAGTCTAATGCAAGGTTATCTGAAAAGCCAACATTGCACCATAGCATGGACAGATCCTTTCATAAAGCTCGAAGCTCCAATTATCCTTACTTCAGAGTTGTCAAGAGTCTTATAGGAATGAAATGATGCTGTATCATAAACATATACATATTTTACCTATCTTGTATCGATATAGTATGAGATACATTTTGCATGATTGTTAGTTAATAGTTTGATGTACTATTTAGATCGTACCTTTCGTTTCAGACAACTTTCGGGTCCGCCGTCAGATCGAAAGCACGGTTATCCTTCAGAGGCCACTCAGACGGGCCAGAACCGACGACCACCCGCTTGAGAAAGTCAATGTCTACAGTATGTATATCTATCAAATTTTACTTATGATTTAAGCATTTTGATTATCAAAGATTTTGTAACTTTTTTGAGGCGTAGTGCAAGAAAGGCATTTGGCCTAATTTCTGACCCGAATAAAGTGATTATTAGTATTTTTGATCACTCCTAGAATTTGAGGAATCGGCCAGAAAATAGAAGCTTTAGATTTTGTTGGAGTTGGATTCTTAAATGATGGTTCATATGTAAAGTTATCAACTTCTTTCCGTTTTGATATAGGGTTTGCCCTAAATGACTATGTAATTCAATTTCAGTACACGTACACTGGACCATCTCAAGTGGTCGGAGTTGATGCCTGCAATGAAACAAACACCCATACTCAAGTTTAACAGTATCTATATATATATATATATATATATATATATATATATATATATATATATATATATATAGCTGCCATCGTATATTAAATGTGAACTATTATAAAAATGCTGTATTTCGGAAATCGAGGACACGTTATTAATTTTGAAGTATTTGAGCAATATCTAAAGTCGAAAATATAACTTGACTACTTCCGAAAGAAATAACCGATTCCTACCATTGAAACCTATCACACAATATTTTTATTGAGTGCTAGCTACAGCTATAGAACAGCACAACTGTGGACCTTAATTGTGTACATATATGTTCTTGTTTTCGAGTTTTTATTAAAGACACTTACTGTGTTTGTAAATAGTATTTCTGTGTTGATACAACTTCTACTTCTATGTATGAACACATGCTCAATGCTTCGTATCGCAGAGGCTCGTTTCAGTTCAGGGGTTTCATTCTCGAAAAATGCACTTAAATTAAGATCCGTTCTGTAGAAATACTGTAATCTTATTGGTTAATTCGGACTTGATTTGAGTAATTAACCAATAAGAAGCTAAATTCATTTTAAGTTTATTTCGTGAATAGGCCCCTGTTAATATAAATTACTATCGTGTAATCTTAAGAGTTTAATGTAGTTTTCAGACTTTGTTTAGATTATGATTATTCTTGTACAGTATGTTTTCAGTTTTTGAGATGTAAATTGTTCATCACTTGATAAATAGAAGTAAATGACAAGCACAATTAAGTTATCAGTTTCATGTATTTACTCTGTTTGATCTTTTCACTACGGGTTGATGTTGTTATAAATAATTTCAAATTTAACTTCACCTCAAGCCCAAACCAGGAAACTTACCCCAAAGGGAGTTCAATATAGTTTTTGCTATAAATCTTATGACAAATTTACACATCCCTTTTCGACTATCTCGGTTAAAATTATCGTTAGATTGAATTGACTTGGACAATTTTGTTTAGTTACTAGCTATCAAGAGGGCACTGCAAGAGCATTTGCAGTAAACTTACCCCAAATAGAATTCAAATACCTCTTGGTTAGAAATTGGATAACAAGTTAATAATCAATCCATCTTGATTTTTTCCACGTTTAAATGCTCATTACATAAAATATATTTTGTGACATTGTGATTTCACTGACGAAGTATTTCCCGCAAACTTACCCAATGGAATTTTTAAAATTCCTTCTTTACTAAATAACCACTTCATGAAATAGACTTAGACAAATTAATATAAGGTTGTTTATCAAATACTTTTATTGTATATAAATCATGTATGTAATAGAAAGTTTTTAATAAAGTCTGTTTTCTTTTACATATGTATGTTTTACTTGCGCAACCCTACCTCAAAATAAAAATCCATACAAGCAAGACAATTCCGTTAATCAAAATCTCATCCAAAGTATGGCATAATCGAGAGTGAAAGTTTATAGTAGTGGACCCCTCCAAAGAGAAGTAACATCAGGCATTTCGCAAAGAAAAAGCTTGGGCATGTATGTTTTACCCGAATAAAACAAACTATAAACCTCGATTGTTTAATCAAAATAAGAGAAATGTTAAACAATAATAAACTCCTTTATTTTCTGTACACATTTAAAGTTGGGACATTTGGAAGGGAATATTTGGAAGCATTTACGATCAAAGTGTAAGTTTTATCTTCAACTTGAGGTGAGATTTTCAGACCATTCTCTGGATTCCAAATACCAAGCTGAAATTATAGATGAAGCAAATACAGATCTATAATGTATGACTGTTGTATTTGAAGAGGACAAAATAAAATGGAGCAAATAGTGAATCATATGTTATTTATCAAATTGTGGTGCATTACGCGAAATTATTTCGATATGATGATAGCCAAAATGTTTCTTTAAATATATACCAAGGCAATCTCTCACCAATCTTACCTTTAAAGCTCTATTGCCATTTCTAAACTGATATACACCCAAAATATATTTTCTTCTTTTAAATAATTCATCTAATATCACAGGCCCTGTTTTACCATAAAAATTAACCTAAAGCAAAGACCAAATGCTAGAATAACTATCAAGGTAATACATTAAATATACACAAGATATACTTGTAAATATAATTTCAGTAAAATCCCAGCTGAATACATTCCAAATGGGGGTTTACACTTTCAACATTTTAGGAATCTGACGATCACTTTTGAAGAGCATCGTAAGTGACAGGATACAAGCCATTTTTTATCAGCTAATGAGTCAAAAATGAACGATTAAGTTGTAGGACAGAGTATGGTGCACTTACTCGCGTTAGGCACTCCATGAATAACGATCCATACGCTTTCTTCTCGACTATAAAATTGGAACACTTGACAGTATCTTTGTTAAGCGCAGGAGGGAATGAGCTCCATAATCGTGGGAACCATTCTTCTTCCTTGGCCACTTCTACTGCTAATCTTACTAATTTTATAGCGTCGACAATCAATGCATCCGAGCTCTGAAATATACAGGGTGTTTCGAAATTGGACATCTACAGCATTAACTAAAATAGACAAATAGGACAAAACAAAACCGATTCAGAACCTGTATTCTCTCTCGAGTTTTTAATATTTTGTGTACCTGTATTCTCTTATATTTTGTGTGGCCTCCTTCTGCCTGTACCACAGCTTCTTTCCTGAGGGTTTGATTACAGTAAATAGCAAGAACAGGCTCATTATAAAACTCCATTTCCAGATATATTATGCTGTGGAGTTTTAATTTCATGAGAAATGCTGTATTCATTATAGACAGTATTCGTGGGGATATACCATAACAACAAGGTTTTTTTTCACTGTTCAAATATCGTGCAATGTATTACTTCCACAGTGATGTAGAATATTGACGAAGGTCAGTTGTGTGACTGGAGATCGCACAAATTGAAGTTCTGATTTTATATTTCTATATGGAAATTTATTACATACACAGAATAGACTTTGCATATCATCTTTAAAAATGGAAGTATAAACTCAGAATGTAAGAAAGGGACACAACCACTAAACCTACATTGGGTTTTCATCCGAAAAAACTGGCATAAGTATTTGACATGAAATGAAAGATATCAACATACTAACATTGTTGTTCATTGCATTTACAGTTTACTGTGAGATGAATTATAAATAAATCAGTGCTAATGAATCCAAAAATTAAAAATTTTCTTGAATACAGATCATAAGGTAATGGATGTGACGGAAATTTTGATCAAATTAAACAATATTCTTAACTTTATAAGAGACGATATTTAAAATTCTAATTAATAGGCTGCCCTTCAAATTCCGATTTTCTCTTTTTAACTGAAATAAGACTTAGAACATAATAATCGTTCGTTTAAAACCAAAATGATACCTCTCGGGTCAACATTTACAATATTCTGGCCATTTTAGTCTGGTGGTGGGGGATATCTAAATTCAAATTGATCCCGTGGACAATTGACCGAGATAGTTAGAAACAAGACTAAGCATGAAGATTGGCCTGAATTTAAGATGATTCAACACAGACAGTTCAGGGATATAGCCGTAGATTATTCAGACAATACGATAATATAAATTATTTTCTAATCAGACCAAATACAGGATTTCTAATGAAATGATTTAATATCTGGAATTTCTCAGAAATTTTATGAATTATATAAAATAAATCTAAGTTTCATTTTCAGTTCTGAGATCATTTTTTAAAAAAAGTACTTATTTACTATGTTGTTTTGGATGTTTGGAACCTTCAGAATAAAATGCACAAACAGTCGGCCATGTCAGCAACTACACACCTTCGACCTTCTCAACCGTCTTCATTAGCCCACATGGTGCAGAAAAGTAGGAAGTAAAACTTCATTCATTTCATTTCGACCTGCTCATGAAAAGGTTATAAGGAGATATTCCAGTATTCATACACGAAAATGTCGCTCAAAATTCAAAGAATTATTTCACACTTACCGACATGATATCACCTTGAAATGTATCAGGAAATAATTTATTTCTATGGAATCTATCCGGAGGAACCAACTGAAAACCTGTTATATTCATTTCTTTATCGTGACTTGACTGCATAGGGTCCAACGATAGATGATCCTGTGAAGAAAATTCATGCTGAAGTTATTAACAGCATTTGATGTTGTGTACATATTTAGAAATTGAACCATTAGATCAAAACAGTTGTGTGATAGGCAACAACGAAAAAAAGGAAAATAAAACCACAACAAGTGGATTAAAATATCAATTGTGCTCCGTGTTCAACTGATCTAGAGTAAGCAGCGTTTTCCCAACTTTCCCCCGGTTTTCGACGAAGTATACTTACCAGAGTAACCGTTATTAAATGGGTATTAGAATCACTTGAAACATGGTCGGTCTGAAAAGCATGTAATGACAATGACAATTGAAGAACAAGGTAAATGCCTTAACACTTCTCCTGAAAGGCAATTGGTTCACAATTAGATGCATTCTGTTACTACATAGGCCCCGGGTAGCAACTGAGGGATCTTTAATAACGCTTTGTCTTTTTCAGAATCTCGGGAATGCATCAATGACACTGGGTAATATCTCGATCCATCAATTTCATTATAACTTGGAGTAATAGCATCATATAGAGATGTACCTACAATATATTTAACAACCTCGTGGACATCCAGGGTGTTGACATCCAATATGATAACAGTGACCTCATCATCACTCTTAGCAGGCTGGACTATATCCGACAGCTGGTCTAACTCTGTGACTCTTCTGACATCTAAATCTACCAACAATTCCTGATTATTTAAATACTGGAACACATCTTGTAGTCGCATCAGTCCTGTAACACACGAAGGTATAAAGAAAAACCTTTTTTTCACGATTATGAATATAGTTAATAAAAATAAAAACCTTTCAATAACATTTTAATTAAGACGGCCAAAAATGACGAAATCCTTTTGAAAGAATATTTTGTAAGAGTGATAAACAATTATTCTCTAATCAATACTAAGTCAAGTTCAAACCACTATAGAGATAACATCAAAGAAGAACAAAAAGTCACCCGAGTCTGAGACCCTTTCCAAAGATAGTTTAGGATAGTTGCACAAAATTTAAATTATAATTATATACAAAACCTTTATAAATAAATTGCTCTGTCATTAAATTTTGTAATGGACCAGTTGTTCATTTGTTCATTGAGGTGTAATACCAACAGGACAAGGAGAGTTGTGATTTTTCTGAACAATCGAAAACAAAATCATTGAAAAGACCATTTTGATCTCAGTGGGAGTCAAATTTTCATTGTTCAGGAGCTTTTACAGACCTTCATCCGTGTCATAAATATATAAAGCTTTAGTATATTGGTAAAACTCCAGGATGTCGACAATAGCTCCCATATAGGCTGGTCTAAGATATATTTGAAACGGTGACGGTAATGTAAAGTTGTGGGTGGAACCAATACTGATAAAAGGAATATTGAAAGTGTTGCTGTAAGACTGAATGGTTGACAAGGAAGAAGCGTTAGTGATGCCAATGATAGCAACAATATCTTGGGAAATCAAATCACACACTGAAAATAGAAAAGTTAATCGTCAAAATATTTTCTTAACCTTACATGTGGTTATTACCAATGTCTTCAAAATATCGGTTATAAATCCGTATGGAATGATGAATAACATCTTGTAGGTAACGAAAGTTTAAAATGCTGTATGCGAATTGTAAAATAACAACATATTATATATCCATATATCTTGTGCTTCTTTATTCAAATCAAGTAAAAATTAATACAGAAATGGTATATCTATATATCTTGTGCTGCTTTACGTAGGCCTATTTCAATATGCTTTATAAACAGTAAACTGCCTGTTATGTTTTAATACTATAAGAGATAAAAGCAGCTGAAATGGAATTCTTTCAGTTATTTAAGCAAATATTAAAACAATTGACCCAATAACAGTTAACAAAAATCAATGAAAAAAAACAACAACATTATTGTTATTGCCCGATTTTCATATGGATTTTGTACTAACCATGTTATTTTTATATGACATGTTAAATTTTCACATTTCAGATATTGTACATTTAGATCTATTACATATCACACGTTGTGTTTGACAACATAGTTTAGTTACAGTTACAGTAACAGTCTGCAACCACTAACTATATTTTGAAAGCCTCGGAAACCAGTGGCGTATCAATTTTAGTTAAATTTTCTATGAATACCACTTAGTGAGATATTGTATAAATGCCAAGGGAAATGAATCTGAATTGAAATATTTTTGCTTTATTGATTCGTAGCGTACAACACAAATAAACCATCTTCTCCAATTGCATAATTCAATATCAAGTCGGATCAAGCTGTAGAATATTATGTCCCAAATGGTATCAAATATTTCCTTTCAAAATTTCAATGGCTGGCATTGTTAGCATATTGTCTTGTAGTACGACAATAGTTTGCTTAGAGTTGATGAAATCAAGAAAACAACGTTGGTTCACGAAGGTTGCCCTCACAAGATTATGGTTTATCGTTCAGATTGATCTGTACACCTTCATATCTGAATTGTCTAAGCAACATAAAACCTATGTGCATTTTCCAAAATTGTAAATTTATATCTTGCATCCGTAAGATAATGAAACTATCGAATTTGACCGACTGGTTTTAAAGAATAAAACATTTTATTCAGTTGAGCATTATAAACAATGCAATGTACAAATTTAAGAGTTTTAAATTTAAGTACGACTCGTATCAGTCAAAAGATATTAAATCGTTCCAATTTCAACCTATGGGATTAAAAAAAACTCCTTTTTCAGTTGGGCAAATAAATAAATAAGTTTCCAATGTTTTCCTGTTACTAATCTTGTTTGCTAATGATGAGAGTAAGTGAAGACTTAAATGCGTGACATCTAATCCCATGCCGCGTATTCCCATTTACCCTCGATCAGAATCAATAGTAAATCATGCGTAAGATTACCAGAAAAAATAAATTATTCCTCAGGGATTTAACTTTTTTTACTCTAATCCACCGCGATTGAAATGGAGTAAAATAAAAGTAAATATAAAGGCTTCGTAGATGTATTAAACTTCTGCAAAGGTTATGGCATGATGACATTTGTTTAAACAAATGTGTTTTACTTCCGATCGTTCTGCTCTTCGTTTGATTATTGACGATTGTCTTGACTGCTTCCCTGCATGATCTACTAAACCATATGAAAATTATTTCATCTGTAAATGACGTCCGAGGGGCGACGTATTAACGTTGTCGATCCACTATTACGGACACCAGAGCGGTCAAACTATCAAAGTGTTATTTATATTCATTTATTACTTATCCAAATAAGTTTTAAGTGAGCATACTTCGGCGGTTGACACGCGTCTAATGACCATCTGTAAATGACGTCCGAGGGGCGACGTATTAACGTATTCGATCCACCATTATGGACACCAGAGACGTCAAACTATCGAAGTGTTATTTATATTCATTTATTACTTATCCAAATACATTTTAAGTGAGCATACTTCGGCGGTTGACACGCGTCTAATGACCATCTGTAAATGACGTCCAAGGGGCGCCGTATTAACGTGTGTGGTCTACTATGAATACCGAACACGTCGTAGAGAATGATATTGCAGCTCAACTATCAAAGAGTTATTGGCTGGCATTTATTACTTATCCCGATATATTTTAAGTGAATTTGCTCTCACGGTTTACAAGCGCCTAACGACTAGCTTAGAAATACGTTTTCTACCACGAAAGCAAGATTTAATCATAGTGAGATCTTTTTTAAACGTTTTGTCATAGTTGATTCCATCTAATTAGCCTTGAGAACTGTTCAAACAAAAAGCTGACTCCCTTGGGCATATTTTCCTGTCCTCGTCAATTCACTAACACAACTCATCTTTAAGTAAGTGATTTGTAAACATTACAAGATTCCGTCAAGATTTAGAATCGAGCAATTACAGAACTATTTGAAAGGAGAAATTCAGCGTTTATGGTAGTTTATGGGTTGGTTAATTAGCAGGCTAGAAAATGAGAAACTTAATTGAGTTTTCTGGTTGTTTGAATCTTTCTGGAAATGTCAACTGTGAAACACGAATCTTGATTAGAGTTTACTTTCTCCAATAGATAGGTTGGATATAGATTATAGAGTATGATTGGAGTTCAAAGAAAACTGCCCTTGAAGACGACTTTGATAAGAAAGTGAAACTTCATTTGAACTAAATTTGCGAGCGGAAATATATTTTTTATGGCAATCAGGGATTCCATTAAGAGGACTTCCTTTTATTTTCTGTCTGGCCAGTGTTATTTTATTTTATAAAACCACTAAAAATTTGGTTTTAAGGATGATATGAATTCCAAGGAATAGGAGCACTTGGTCCCCTTGACCCTCAGTTAATATTTGCCCTCTATTTCTGTTGTTTCTTACAATGTAGGAACCAAGAAACCACGGAGATAACGAGGAGTGAATTTTGATGTTGGGAATTCATCATATAACCTGCCATATCAGATATCAGATTTTTTTTTCTTGTAAAGCAGAAAGAAGATATATTTAATGTTTGTACCTATGCGATATATAAATCAACACATTGTTATAAAAAATAAAGCATTTAAATTCAATTAAAAGGTGACCATAACCTGTCGTGTTGGAAATAACAAATATAGGAAACATTTGATGTTTACACCTATGCGAATCAAAAATCAACAAATCTTTCTGGAAATTTAGAAAGGCGTGTAACGATGATCAACCTAGTCGCAGCGTTACATCAAGTGTTTCGGAATGGAAGCCAGTCAAACATATTTGGAACAAGAATATTTACAGGCAAGATATTAAGAGCGCCTCATACCACTGTACGACTGGGTTCAACACACAATTAAAATTGGACAACTTACTTGCATTACTAACAGCAAAGCTATCAGCTATATCGACTGTTGCAATGACTGGTCGTAGGTTGATTTCTGGGTCGTTATGGTTTATTTCAGCCAAGCTAGCAAACAGTGTGCCATGATGGCGCAACGACTGGACGTCGAACAGGATTCCTGAAACGATACAGTATATCAAGGTATAAAACTCAAAATTCCCTGTCAAGCCTTCTCTTTCGTTACCTATATAGCTTGGTGTTGATGCTCCTTAATGCATTTCATTTTCTCTTTCGTTACGTAGAGAATCCAAAGCCTAGGTTTTCAACGTAGGGTCCTTGTGTCTTTTTTGAGAATACCAGACGGGTATTTTATCATATTAGCAAAATTTTATTTTCCAGCTGCGTATACGATTTTAAGACTTGGAAGTATATACCTATTTTTATCGAGGTGATACAGGGGGTGTCCTTGAAGAAGGGTACGATGAGCTAAAAATATGGGGACCAGAGAGTCAGTACATTAGAACTGGCATACTACAGCTTTTTAATTGTCTTATGATTTAACTACCAGTGGCGAATTATAGTCCTTGTTTTAATATCGGGGTAGGGTTACATTCCATTAAGTATAACCACAGACATTTCTGCATTAAATGATGTCATTATTTCAACTTATATATTGCTTTGTAATTTCCAGTGATGACAATGTCCAGGTTTCAAATTATCTCAGTTCGTGAGAAATAATATCCTTTGAAAAAAATTGATGTTAAACTTGCCGTGAACGTTTAGTGAGTATGAAACCAATGAGCCGAGTTGAATGAACTAATTGAGAATAATCTAACGGAAAGAAATCGATATTGGAGCCATCAAACATGGTATTCAATGTTAAATGACTTAGTAAATCGAAATCGACCTGCTTGCACTGCACAATGTTGCTAATAAACTAAACCAAGTACTAACGATACAAACCGCAAAAGGAAACCCGAAAATAAATAACAACATCCTGCAAAACATTGGTAGCAGATAATGAACTTTTCATATGAGGAAGTATATCAATCATAAGTGAATAAGTGTTTCATAATGAAAAGTGAAATCGGGTGTCTAGAAGAGTAAGCATACCGTTGTAACGTTTACATAACGTGATGTTATTCCCGAGACGAATACCATTGGAAGCATCACTCGATTGTATTCATTATGTGGTCTCGGACGCTGATCGTAGAATATTGATCTTAGCATTCGATAATGTATTTATAAATACGTTCTTGCAATATTTAAGCTGTTTTGTCGAAGCAGGCATTATCAAAAACATATCCTTACCTATAGAAACAGTCGTCTTTGCTTCGACCTTGTTTATGGAAATCAAATAAACAAACAATGCCAACAATCCTGATATCCATGTACAGCCATTCCTTACGGAACTCTCTCTCACCGCCATCTTTAAATAGCAAAATCTTATGCCGCATCAAACATCCGACTAAGTGTCATAATGTTTTTTATAAAATTCAATCAAATTAAGGCTGTAATTTATCCTTTTAATCCAAAATTTCCTATATTATCCAAACCGGAAAAGAACTTAAGATGGACTTGTCATGCGCAAAGCCTAAAAGGAAATTATCTGCCGAATGGAATCTTGTGTATTGATTTTAGCGCCTTGAAATAGCAGACGACAGTTCTGAAGTCTCCTTTGTCAAACGGTATCCACTATAACGTGAGCAC